TTTTTAAAAAACTACGTTGTGCTTGTTTTTTTGTACAATTTTGCGCATGAAGTTATTCTGTGGTGCTTTTGACAACCACCAAATAGATGCCGCTGCAGCTTAAACAAACAAGTAAAAATTGTGTTAAACCACCAAACACACAGTCTGTTGTTACAATGTTTACAGTCTGTTGACAGTCCACAAAATCAAATTTGCTGACTGAACTTATACTTAGTCTACTTGTATTTGCATAAATCCTGGAATCAAAAGTACAACCCTTTGAGTATAAGGCAACAGCACTACACCTACTCACTTACAGCCACCCCTGGAAGTTAATGGTACCTGACACTGGTTTCACACATGACATTAATTTTTAATGAATTAATTGACTACTTAATTCCCAAGTGTGGCAAGAGATAATAATGTTTTGCATTTTGGCATTTTCTTTGTCTCTAAGTATTTTTCTTGTCCTGTGTCTCTGTGTCTGCAGCCATGCCAGTGCAGCACTCATACCCAGATTTAGTATTTTAGTATTAAGCAAAGAGTAAGTAAAAAGTAAGAGTTATTATTAGCTTATGCCCATTATTCCATTTGTTATTACTTCTCAGTTAAAATGTTTTTTCTTTTGTCGTCCACTTTCAAAATGTTGAAATCTGACATTTTAGTACCTGGATGCTACTTGCAGTGAGTCACATACTTAAAGACATATTTTGGCTTTAACCTTTACTGGAGGTTACCATGGCAATAGTGAATTAAACTGGCAATAGGCAGAATCTAACCACCTAAACACCAGGGCCCTACAGTCATACTCTGGCCTTTTTTTAATATTAACCATTTACAAACTATAGTAGGACTGCCCATACATTGGTTGTACTGACTCCTACAGCAGCGCCCACTAGTGACTGGTAAAAATGAAATTGATTCTTGCTGACTTGATGCAGACTTGAGGTCTTGTACAATTGTTTGCAACCACAGCCAAATCTATTCTATTCTTTGATTTTAACTGCTAATTAAGAAATATTATATAACCTGCTGTTTTGAGTGTGCACAAGCTCAGTTTTTCTAAACAAATAATTGTAATATTGTTGTTAAAAAAACTTTTTTAGTGGCAGTGTAAGTGAGTCTACTTTACAAGTTGGAGTCGGTAACTCACATGAGAAGCCACTTGGGTTTTACAAAGATTTTATTGTTTCAAGACACTTTTGTTTAGAAGAAAAGAAAAAGAAGATTTCCAAATAAACTGTAAGCAGCAGTTCTGTTTCATCCTGTTGTTTCCCTTGTGTTTGGTCTACAGCTGAAAGCAGGAGATGAGCTACAGTGTGGTCAGCCCTGCATCCGCTGTGGAGAACAGTGTCCTGGCTTTTTCCTGCACAAGTGGAGGTAGGGTACAGTAGCTGCAGCGCTGCATGCAGCAAAACAGCTGTTCTCTAGTTACTGAGCACTTTATTTAGAAAAGTGTAGATTCACTGTGTTGTTTAGGTTGTTGAACTCAGGCTAGAAACCACCATAAACATTGTTTACAGAAGACAGAGGCACATAATAAAAGCTGCGTAAAGATGCAAGTAAAGTTTACAAAGCTGCACAAACTTTATTTTCTGTTGGAAACAGCTGTCTGTGTAACGTTCTAAAACTGATCCAGGTGTAGAAATACCAAGTGAAAATGTCAAAAGACCTCTGCTGTTGAAAATGTTCTTCTGTGAGTAAGCATCTCCAACAACTCCAAATAAATATGCTAACGCAGCTAAACTATTACTGATAGTTTGATGGTCACTGTGGATGACCCTGGTTGCACAGAGCAGAAATATATAAAAAGATGAGTTTCTGCATTTGGGTTTGCACAATATTCCATTCAACCCTAACCCCATTCCATGGAATGATTGAAAAGGCAGACTGACCCAAACCAGATTTTCCAAGTGGGATGTTGCAGTTTTCCTTGCTCAGAGGCCTTTCTTTATCCCTGCTTTTGCAAACGCACACTTATTTATCTCTCCAAAACTGCTGTACATGTGCTATATATCCATCTTTACTGAAAACACAAAGTCCAACATGTGCCTATTGTGTTCATATGCTGTGAACCTTGGTCTGGTCTTAAATATTACAGGTGATGTTAAATCAACTTTTTATCACAACCCTGTCCTGTAATGAAGTTAGTGACGTTCGTCACCTGACTGTCACTATAGTGAACAAATCATTTTCATCCAGTGTAATTACCGTTGATGATGAGGATGAGTTTGTAGTTGAGTTTGTGACTAAATCACTGAGGCAGGGTCACCGTCAGACTGATTTATACTGATGGCAGACAGACACGTTGAACGGCTTTCACAGCTGTCAGCCTAATTTGTCCAGTGAAACTCGAAGGCTGCCTCAGGTTCTTCTCACACACCTTTGTTATTAAAAAATGTTAATTTACCAAAGTTGATAATTACAGGTTTTTTTAATATTCTAACACGATCATTTCTGCAGAGGAAATGTTATGTTTTAAATTTGTAAAAAATGAGAATTTGAACTTTATTGATCCCACACTGGGGAAATTGCTGTGTTAACAGCAGATCTGCTGCAACAGGCTGCCCAACAGGAGGCGCCAAGAATGTTGTTCCTCTGGGGCTCAAACCCAGGACCTTTTGCATGTAAGGCAGGCATGATAATGCTATGGAAGCACTAAAGTGACCAATATAATGCATACTTTACGTTTCTTATTTGTGTATTCTATTTCCTAACTCAGTAAGTGTCGATAAGATAATCGATTATGAAGACAATTGATTTGTGATATTGATAATCGAACTTGAATTGGTCAAGTTTTGATCAAATCCCACCCATGGTAATGTATGTGCCCGTGTGTTTATGTGTTTGGAGATGTACAGTATGTCTATGCAGAACACTAAAATGGTCCAGGAGAACCACTGTGTTTCCTCCAGGAGAAGAGGAGCCTTAAGAAAACAAACCTTCCAGACTGGTTGTGTTGAATAGAATTAGTCATGCGCACTGCTGTGAAGGAACCATTGTTCTGGTCCTGTGTGCTCCAAGATAATAGTTTTTCCTGTAAAGACCTTTAATACAGGAGGGAGGCAGGGGAGGGAGGGAGGGAGGGAGGGAGGATTCACGCCTGAGGCCCCCACTGTCCCTCGCTCTCCACTGGAAGAATATAAAATAATGAAATTGCTTATGCTGCAAAACAAACGCCTGTACTGTGGAGAGACGTACTCCGTCTGTGAGGCACAGGTGGTTTGTGTTA